TTTATCCCCCATTTCCTCCTGTTTTCCTTTTCCCCCCACCTTTGGGGGTGAAGCAGATCCCAGCCCCCAATTTGGCCACAGAGCCAAACCAACATGACTCCACTGTCCACCCCAGTTTTTCACCCTATTTCACCTCTTTTTTCCAGCAAAACTGCTGTGACCTCCCCTTTTTCTCCCTATTTCTCCTTTTTATCCCCCATTTCCTCCTGTTTTCCTTTTCCCCCCACGTATTAAGGCCGGAGCAGAGCCCAGCCCCTGGTTGGCCACAGAGGGAGTAAAGCTGTTCTGTCCCCCTTTTTCCCCATCTTTCCCTGTTTTCCAGAAAAAAACAGGGTGCCCCCCACTTCTCAACCCCCCTTTTCACCCCATTTCCCTCTTTTTCTCCCCATTTCTCCCTTTTTGACCCCATTTGCTCCTTTTCCCCCCACCTTTTGAGGGCGAAACAAATCCCAGCCCCCAGCTTGGCCACTGAGCCAAAACAGTGCAACCCCACTTTCCATCCCAGTTTTTTCACCCTATTTCACCTTTTTTCCAGCAAAACTGCTGTGACCTCCCCCTTTTCCCCCCATTTCTCCTTCTTATGCCCCATTTCCTCCCATTTTCCCGTTTTTCCCCCACCCACTGAGGCTGGAGCAGAGCCCACCCACCAGCCCGACCACACGGAGCAAACCAGGGTGACTTTCCACCTTGCTTTTTTTGTCTTATTTCCCCTTTTTTTCTCAGCAAAACCACCGTGACCTCCACTTCTTCTCTCCATTTCTCCCCTTTTGACCCCATTTCCCCATTTTTTACCCCCCTCTCCTCTTTTCCCCCCACCTTTTGAAGGCAAAACACATCCCAGCCCCCAGCTCGGCCACCGGCGCGACCCCGTTTTCCGTCCTGCTTTTTTGCCCTATTTCACCTTTTTTGTCCAAAAAACCACCGTGACCTCCCCCTTTTTCTCCCCATTTCCCCCTTTTTCGCCCTTTTCCGCCCTCCTGTGAGCCCCCAGGGCTGCCCTTACCGCTGGAGAAGAAGCAGAGCCGGGCGAACACGGCCAGGACGTAGGCGAGGGCCAGCAGCCCCCCCAGCACCCCCTGGGGCTGCAGCAGCAGGGCCGTGCCCAGCCCGAAGGTGGTAAAATCCGCAAAGTCATCCAGCTTGGCACCTGTGGGGCAGCGAGGGGCAGGTGCCAGGCGAGCCCCGGGCACGGGAGCCCCCCGGGGTGCCCCCCAAGGGGGCAAGGGGGTCACACTCACCCAGTGCCGAGCAGGCGTTGAGCTGCCGGGCCACGGCCCCGTCGGCCAAATCCAGCAGGAATCCCAGCAGGAGCAGCCAGCAGGAGAGCTGGTACTGCCTGGGGAGGGGGGACACGGCGGGAAACCCACTTTGCAGCCCCCTTTTCACCCCATTTCCCCTTTTTCTTTTGCCCCTTTCCCCCCCTCCACCTATGGAGGGTGACGCCAGAGCCCGACCACCAGCTTGGGCACAGAGTAAAAGTGGGGTGACCCCTCTTTGCAACCCACCTTTTCACTCTATTTCACCCCTTTTTGACCCCATTTCCCCTCTTTTTACCCCATTTACCCCTTTTACCCCTTTTTTCCCCCCAATTTCCCCCCTTTTTCACTCATTTCCCACTTTTTCCCCCCATTTTCCCTTCTCCCCCACCTGTTCAGGCAGGAGGAGAGCCTCCCTACCAGGTTGGGCACAGAGCAAAACTGGAGTGGCCCCCAATTTTTCACTCTATTCCTCCTTTTTTTACACCCCATTTCCCCCCTTTTTTACCCTATTTCCCCCTTTTTCACCCAATTTCTCCCCTTTTGACCCAATTTCCCCCTTTTTTACCC